GTCACAGCCTCAGCCTCAGCCTGCCTCAGCCTCAGCCTCAGCCTCAGCCTGCTCAGCCTCAGCCTCAGCCTTCAGCCTCGGCCTCAGCCTCAGCCCTCAGCCTCAGCCTGCATCAGCCTCAGCCTCAGCCTCAGCCTGCCTCAGCCTCAGCCTGCCTCAGCCTCAGCCTCAGCCTGCCTCAGCCTCAGCCTCAGCCTGCTTCAGCCTCAGCCTCAGTCTGCCTTCAGCCTCGGCCTCAGCCTCAGCCTGCCTCAGCCTCAGCCTGCCTCAGCCTCAGCATCAGCCTGCCTCAGCATTCAAAATGTGGCCCGGGAATGGAGTTCTGGGAACTCGAAGAACACGAAGTGGCCTACAGTTGGCTCCGGGCATTCAAAATCATGCCCAGGAATGGAGTTCTGGGAACTCGAAGACCACGAAGTGGCCTACAGTTGGCTCCGGGTATCCAAAATGTGGCCCGGGAGGTTCTGGGAGCTCGAAGAGCACGAAGTGGCCTACAGTTGGCTCCGGGCATCCAAAATGTGGCCCGGGAATGGAGTTCTGGGAAGTCGAAGAGCACGAAGTGGCTTACAGTTGGCTCCGGGCATTCAAAATGTAGCCCGGGAATGGCGTTCTGGGAGCGGCAAGAGCGATTTTGCGAGGATGTCCCAAGCGATTTGGGCTTCGGCGGCAGCCGCCCCGGGTCCCGCCCCGACCCCCCTGAGGAGTAATGATGCTCTCTTTTGACACCACTAGAAACCTATCAGTCTTCGCTGTTAGGTAAAATCCTTCCGAAACCGATGGGTTTTGAAGGATTTCGGCATACGCGCGCGACGACGCGCGCGTCTGCACTTCGTCCCATGTTTTGCATAGGATTCTCGCGACGACACACGCGCAAGGGCGTTCGACAGATTTCGACATGCGCGCGCGAAGCCCGTTCGGTAGCATGTTGTGAAAATCTTGAAAAAACATATGGTTTTCTCAAGATTTCGCAAGAGCTCGCGCGTAAGCTTTTTTAGCAAATCAATGTTGCGAAACCCTATGTGTTTCTATGTTTTTTTGAAAACTCGATTGCGAAATCCTTCCGACATCTAAGGTTTTTGATGGATTTCGGCATGCGCGCGCGACGGCGCACGCGTAAGCACTTCGTCCCATGTTTTGCAAGGGATCCGTGAAAAAGTGCTATGTTAGAACAAACAATGTCACCGCATAGTGTTGTTTAACAAGGGTATCTCAAGGGGGGGGATACCGGTTGGCCTGGGACATTGTGATTTTATATTTCGGATGGACATGTGGTCATAATCATCTGTGATTTACATACCCGAAAGGGGTAGCGATAACTCCGGGGGGTCGAATCTATTCTCTTTCTAGAAAGGAGAATGAAAACTCCACAGGTTTTACTGTTAGCGTTGCACTCGGATTGTGAATCTGTCGCATGTGGTTAGTCGTGCATTGGTGACGACATGATACTGCATTCGTGTAGTGTTTGGTAGCGCATTAGCTTTGCATTCGCATCTCAATATTACTGCATAAACGTTGTATAAGCCCCACCAGTCCTCTGGCATGGGGAAGTATAGAGAATTTAATATTTCGTCCTCCCACTTCTTCCCCTGCGGGGATGGTTTAATCACCGTTCCTTCTTAACGTATACCTCCTCCACCACCTGACCAGAGGCAAACCCGGAACCATGACCATACACACACACACACGAAGCATCACTCCGAAAACCATTCAAAGTGCACCTTGCGAAAAAAAATATCCTGGCAAAGCAACCTAACAGCGATGTGTAGAAGCACATCTGAAAGCATTCCCCTTAAGATTCAGATGAAAATCCAGTTGTCGAATTCTGCTGTTCTCGCAGTCGTAGTCGCATTCGCGATGACAGTCGCAGCGGCAACGGCAGTCGCAGTCACAGCCTCAGCCTCAGCCTGCAGCCTGCCTCAGCCTCAGCCTGCAGCCTCAGCCAGCCTCAGCCTGCCTCAGCCTCAGCCTCAGCCTCAGCCTGCCTCAGCCTCAGCCTCAGCCTCAGCCTCAGCCTCTGCCTCAGCCTCAGCTCAGCAGCCTCAGCCTGCCTCAGCCTCAGCCTGCCTCGGCCACAGCATCAGCCTGCCTCAGCATTCAAAATGTGGCCCAGGAATGGAGTTCTGGGAACTAGAAGAACACGAAGTGGCCTACAGTTGGCTCCGGGCATTCATCCAAATGTGGCCCGGGAATGGAGTTCTGGGAAGTCGAAGAGCACGAAGTGGCCTACAGTTGGCTCCGGGCATCCAAAATGTGGCCCGGGAATGGAGTTCTGGGAAGTCGAAGAGCACGAAGTGGCCTACAGTTGGCTCCGGGCATCCAAAATGTGGCCCGGGAATGGAGTTCTGGGAGCACCAAGAGCGATTTTGCGAGGATGTCCCAAGCGATTTCGGCTTCGGCGGCAGCCGCGGCGGCAGCCTGTCCGGGTCCCGCCCAGACCCCCCTGAGGAGTCATGATGCTCTCTTTCGAAACCACTAGAAACCTATCAGCAAGAGCTGTTAGGTAATCACGCGCGGGCACCAAGCGACCACTTTACATTGTTTGTTGCTGGCACATCATCCCCTCCAAAAAAGCATACGACATACCGTTTGCGACAACTTCTGATCATGCGCGAACGCCCAGCGATCGCCTTGTATTGTTATCTGTCACATGCGGCGCACCTCGCGGGCGTGGCGCACCTGGCTGGCGCCTGCATTGGTTCCCGAGAAATGTCGATGCCGGCCCCTGCCCATGCTGAGACTCGCATGCTACTTCCTCCTCCTCCTCGTGGCGGAAGGGCGGGTGGGAGTGAGCGAGACGGCCGTCCTTCGGGGTAGAACATCCATTGCAGGAACATCGCGCGAAGTGCACTTTGCACCAAGTCCTGGATCATGCGCGAACGCGCCGCGATCACTTCGCATTGGTTTTTTGACAGGGACGGCGGGGGGGCCGGCGTACTGCCTGCTGTGTACAATACCAACGCCCCCCAACTATCCCTTCCCCAAAACATGCAGCATGCACTGAGCACCTAATTCTGGATTATGAGCGGACGCCCCGCGCTCATTTGGCATTGACTTTCGCGACGGACGGCAGGGGGGGGACAGCCATCCCGCCGTCCGTCTCCTCGATTCCTCCTCCTCCTCTTCCTCCTCCTCCTCCTCTCCTCCTCCTCCTCCTCCTTCTCCTCTCCTCCTCCTCCTCTCCTCCTCTCCTCCTCCTCACACACCCACACACCATAGACAATGCTCGCAAACCGGCCGTCACTCTGCTTTGGTTGTTTGGCCAGGGGTGGTGAGATGGTCGCAATATTGCCCAACGTGGCGCACCTGGTGCGCGTGGCGCACCTGGCATGTGCGGCACACCTCGCGGGCTTCGCGCACCTGGCTGGCGTCTGCATTGGTTTCCGACGCTTGTCGATGGCGGCCCCTGTCAATGTTGAGACTCGGGTGCTACTCATGTGCTGGGAGGGCGGGTGAGAGTGAGCGAGACTGCTTGTGGTTTGTGGGTAGCTTGAGCCCTCTCCCTACCCCGTACCCCTGGGTCTGGAGGGTGGGGGGTCGCGAGCAGTCAGAGCGTCCAAGATGGCCTCAGTGAGAAAGCAACAATCAAACATTGTCAGTTGGTGTTGGGTCAGTTCGGGCCTGCTGAGGTGGGGCGGAGCTACTTTACCGCCACCCCTGTTCTTTACTCGCTGGACTCCAAGATGGCCTGAAGACGGCCCGAAAAGCCCCCGAGACAGCCCCAAGGAGGCCCCAAGAAGGCCCAACAGGTCCCCCAGAGGCCCCCACGAGGCCCTCAAAAAGTCTAGAACAGACCCTAAATCGAACAGGCCCCAAAACGCACCCAAGAGGCCCCAAGAACCACCCAAAATTCTCCGTGAAGCCCCCCCAGGAGCCGGCAAGAGGCCCCTGAAGCTCCATGAGGTCTCCCAAAGATGCCATGCTCCCCCGATAAGAGCAGCTCCGCTGGGCATCGTTCTTGGATGGGCTGGTGTGGATACGCGGGGCGTTGTTAAGTACTGTGACGGTACCGTTCTAGTGTAGCATTCGCATTGTATCCGTGATGTGGTGATGTGTGGGCAGCGTGATAATATTGTATTTACCGACATTGACATATTTTCGTTACTCGTGTAGCAGATTTGCATTAGTCTTACCTCGGTTAAGGAAACCAGACTGAGGGGCCGAACGGTTATGCACTGTCCCTGTGTGAGTGGCTGGAGTGGGCTTCCGCGGTGCGGATTGGTGTCGATGTTGCTTTTTTGTTGAACTCTCACTTCTGAAGAATAATGGCTGTTGATCCTCATCTCTGGTGCATCTTGCGCTTTTCAATTAAATTGGTCCCCCGGGGTCTCGCACCCTGTTTTGCATCAGGATATGAGTTCTCCTCAACATGTGCTGTTGGTACCCGATTTCCAACAGCGGCTCCCGTTTGTACTTTATCACAAGTTATTCCAGCGTCGCGTTCTCGCGCGGGATTTCCTCGCACGTGATTCAGACGCGGCGCCCTCGACGTTCAAGAATCGCGCTCTCGCTCTGGTGTTTCTCACGAGTTACTTGGGAATAGCGCTATCGCTCGAGAGCGATTCGTACAGGATTCACGCTTCAGCCACCCGCCTGCTCGACCTGGCCGCCTGGGCCCACCAACCAGGTCCACCCGTCCAGGTCCACCCGCCCGATCAGCCCGTCCAGTTATGCCACGTGCTTTCTGCTCCCAGCACCCGTCCTGCTACACTCTCTGTCGTGCTCCATCATGAAGGACAACGATAAGGGGGGACTGGCAGAGGGGGGGATGCACCGACCCGGAATCGGCGATGCATCGCCGATAGATCGGCGACAGGCCCTGGTAGCGAATCCGCAAACGCTCCTGGGCAGGTTGGGGCTATCAGACCCCTATCGGCGAGCAATGGGCGATTCGGGGTCGATGCAGCCCCCCCTATGCCCATCCCCCCCTGTCGTTGCCACCGACATCCTTCCTCCCTCCTCCGTCCGTCCTCTCTTCCGCCGCCCCAGAGCGGGGGTGCGACCGCAGGTGCCCAGGCGCGGGCGGCGTCACCGGCGCCCGCGGCTCCGCCACCGCGACCGGCGCCTCCTCGGCGTCGTGGCTGGCCGCCCCGCGCTGCACCTGCGCGCGCAAGACCCGAAGCAACCTCTTCTGCCGCTACCCAGCGGCTCGGCCGCGGCAGCGGTACCGCCGTCGCCGTGGCCGTCACCGTCCCAGTCGCCGACGCCGCCGCCGCTGCCGCCGTCGTCGTCCGTCCTCGTCGTCGTCGTCGTCGTCGTCGCCGCCGCCGCCGCCACCGTCGTCGTCGTCGTCGTCGTCGTCGTCGTCGTCGTCGTCGTCGTCGTCGTCGTCGTCGTCGTCGTCGTCGTCGTCGTCGTCGACGTATTCATCGTCGTCGTCGTGAAGGTCGCCCTTGTGGTCGCAGTCGTGGTCGCGGTCGTCGAGGCTGTCGCCGTCGTCGTCGCTCTGAAGGCTCTGGCAGCTCCTGCGAAGGCAGCGTCGGACATGCAGCCTTCTACCTCCTTGTCTCTGCTTCCCCTCCCCCATCCTCTTCCACATCATTACAGTGGCGGCCCAACCACAAGAAACCTTCCACAAGAAACCCAACCCTGAGACCAAAGGACGCCCATCGATGTTTGGTGTGGGAACGTCGCGCTTTCTAAAGCAAAACCATCGAAACCCAAGAAATCCAGGGCACCCTGGAGGCAAGCAGAGCGTTTCTTGGCATGGGCCTCCACTGTATCCTCATCCCCCTCCTGCTACTCTCCGCGGGGCGGGAGGCTGGGAAAAGCTCGGAGCGTTGACGCGCGGGGGCTGGGACGTGGTTCAGCGTGTCGCGCCGAGACGTGGTGGGCCAAAGCTGGTGGCGCGACGCGCTGACCAGGAGCTCCTGACAGGACAGGGGCCAAGCAACACCGATCCCCAAATGCCCACAATAAAACTGCCTTTATCATCCTCCTCCTCCTCCTCCTTCTCCTCCTCCTCCTCCTCCTCCTGTTCCTCCTCCTCCTCCTCCTCCTATTCCTCCTCCTCCTCCTCTTCCTCCTCCTCCTCCTCCTCAGCAAGCAAGTTGTGTTGCGCACAGGGTGTCGGCGGATGTGCTGTCCAGGCGTGGCCAGGAGATGCAAGATCTGCCAAGGGCCAGGCCAGGATCGAGCCCGTGGTGGAGGCTCGATGGCGGTGCGTGCGCGAAGTGTCCCTATTCCTCGTCTGAGACGCCCTGAAAGCCCAGCAGTGGCCGCCGTGGAAGATGCCCTCAAGCCTGCTGGGGCTGCGGGAGGCTTCCAGGAAGAACAGGCGTTCTCCATATCGGCGGGACGGAAGGCGAATGGCGGCATCGGGGGCGCGAGCTGGGTTGACTCGTCTCCACCACCCCCACCTCCCAACCCTCCTCCCCCTCCCACCCATCATCCTCCAACTCCTCCCTCTCTCATTTGCAATCCCTTTTTTCCTATAGCTAACTCCTCCCAAACACACCCCCTGACGTGTCGGTAGGGTGAGCCAGGTGTTTCGCCTCAGGTGTCCTCATCACTTCTTGTCATGGAGCTTGAAAGCTGCATGAGCTTCAGTGATGGAAAGCGGATCGTGTTCAAATTGTGGTAATGGCCTTAGAGACGCGCACATCCGTCTTAAAAGTTTGACACCGGTTTGCACATGGCGGGTGGGTATGTTTCAAGATGTGGTTCTCGCATGTGCGCTTCGCACATGCGTCCTCAAAGCTTGCAGCAGCTTCAAGGATGGATGGCGGATCTTTTTGTTCCCAAATGTGGTTCTGACATTAGCGTCGCGCGCATCCGTCTTGGAAGTGCACAACAGCTTCAAGAATGAACGGCGGGTTTTGTTCAGAATGTGGTTCTCTCCTTGGCGTTTCGCAGATTCGCTCATATCAGCGACCAGCAGCTTCAAAAACTCGTATGGGCAAGGTCCCATAGGTGCTGCCTGGCACGATGTACCACTGTAAGAATGCAGAGCACGGTTGGTTCGCAGCGTCGAAGTCCCAGGAATGGTGTTCTAGCGGGGCTTAAGATTATCAGATCAGGTTGATGTGTGGCGTTGAGACCCCAGGAATGGCGTCCTGGTGCGAGCGGGGATTTTCGGGCGGTTACCTTCTTCCACTGCCCCCCCCCATTGGAGACAAAGTGTTTTAGGGACCTATGAACTGGCAATCTGGAGGGAAGGTGCATTGGAACATCGTTGATCCGTCTTGAGTTAACATCGTATTCCTGCCCGCTCGTCGCTCCATCCTGGTCCTGGTCCTTCCTCCTCCTCATCCTCCTGCCCCCTCCTTATCATCATCACCATCATCATCGTCATCCTCATCATCATCATCCTCATCATCCCCCTCTCCTAATATCCCTCTCTTCTGCCGTCGAGACTGCCGCGCACTACCCCTGCAGACCTGGGGCCAGGCACACCAAGGAAGCGAAACATGTTTGAGTGATATCCTGAAAAGCGGGATGCTTACATTCAGGTCGACCAGGGCGTCTTTATATGGGCGGGGGCTGTATCAATATCCTGGCATGGTCCATGCCACGTCCAAGCCCTACCGCTTGCCTGCAGCCGCGTAAGAACATCGGATGGCATGCGATGAACAAGTGTTTAAAGGATGAAAGACAGCGGACGGCGACGATGATGCATTGTGACGGTTTTCACTGCCGCTGTTGCGCCCGTTTCCACGCGCGGTCGCAACGCTGGGCGCGTTTTATCCACGCGAACAGCTTAGTTCGGGCGAGTCGCACACCCGCGAACTGCAGCTCGAAGCGTCGAAGGCTGGGCGGCAGGTTGATGTCGCCACGGGGCAAAGCGAGCCTGCATAACTCCAGCGCGCCTAAAACTGAGTCCAGGCGATCATGGCGGAGCAGAGCCGCCAACGCCAAAGCCTGGACGTGGTTCCTGCAGGTGGCTGGCGAAGTGTTTCGGTCGACGTTGCCCGGCCTTCGCAGCGTGTACTTCAGATGGCTCGTGAGACCCTCTGCCGCGTTGCCACCAGCTGATGAGGAAGAGTAAGGGCGCGGTCGCCTTGACGGAGGGGTTCTTGCCCTTCGCGCGCGCCCTCAGCATGCGGGCGGTCTCAGCATCCAACTTGGATTTGGGCAACCTGCAGGCGGACGCACAGATCTTCTCCACGTGGCCCACGCCCTTCAGGACCTGGCGCTCAGCTACTTCGGCCGCGCCGCGAACAGCCCGACTGCCGTCTGGCGCGACCACGGCGTCTTTTTCCCAAGCCCTCCAGTTCGGCCCTGGTCTCTGGGGTACCGCCAACCCTCCATTATTCGCATCTCTGCCCTGGAGCGCGCGCGCGCGGCCCATTGCCTCTCGCACCGCCCCTTCGCAACGAGAGTGCGCCCCTGGTGCGCCCTCGTAGAAGCCGAAGACCCTCTCTTGCGTGAACCAGCGCTGCACGTGTCTGGCTCGACCACGTCATCCTCGAACACTGTGGACAAAGCCCGCTGCGCTTCCGAGCATGCCATCGCAATCTTGTGCTTCTTGAAAAAAATGAACCACCGTGTTCTCCGTGGCCCTAGCGGTCTCGCCCTCGCGACGGACGAAATGAACGCAGGAATCGTTCGGGGTCTCTCGCATTTGAGCGCGTAAGCCGCGCGCAAACACATGACGCAATCATCGTCCCAGCCAGACCTCAAACGGCCAGCGAAAGGGTAAACGCAACCTCTGGGCAGTTCGGGCGAAGCTTCCGCTTGCGCGCCTTCCGCCGGCAGCGGAGACCGCCCCTCGAGGCCGCAATCTGGTTCTTGCAGGATCAGAGGACAAACTCGCCCGCGTCCTTGAGATACTTCTTGACCCGTTCCTAATTCAACGACGCGATGAACTCGTAAACGGGCTGCTCCAACCGGGCGAAGCCCACGATGAAATGGGCAGTTGATGGTACCTTTTCCGCTGTAAAAAAACCCGTACTCTTCTTAGCACGCCCGATTCTCTCGCGATTTGATGCCATGAGCGGCGACTGGCTTTGCTGCCGCCGCAGGTGGCAGCCTGCGCTACAATTTGGTTATTTGAAGCAAGCCCACGCAGTGACCCACGGCGGAAGCGGCGCGACGGCCGGGGCGGTCAACCAGAATGCGGCGCGACGGCCGGAGGCTCAGCCTCACAGCAGTCGCGGCGCCGACAACGGGCCGAGCCGTGGCGGCGACGGCGGCGATTCGAACACACCCATGCGTCAGAGCGCGTCCGCAAGACAACCTGCGTTTCAATGCGGGGAGCCAAATACTTTTCTCAAGTCGGCTCGCGCCCCCACGGCACGGGGCGCATCTGATGTTTTCATCGCTTGTCCAATCTAGGGAGAACTGCAAGCATTTAACTGCCACGGAGTTCGTCTGCGCGTGATCTTACACGCGTGCATCACATTCTGTGCCCCCCTATCACGCACTCGGTCCCGGTGGTCAATGGCGTCTTGCTCGCTGTTGTCATCCTCCAACTCCGAAATAAGATCCGACAGCTCGTCGCCGTTGTCGTGGTCGGCGAAGTCGAGCTTCAGCAGTGTGAGCCGAGAAGCGTGCACGACGACACCTTCCGAGGTCACCCTGGCGCGCACTGCGTCCGCAATGGGAGGCTGGCGGAGCTGCTCCCGTGGACCGCGCATTGCATCAGTGATGTGTAGCTCCAGCCTCGCGCACCCGCCGACCACCTGAGCACATTCTTGGCGAATTGAATACATCGGTTGGGAACTAGAGACCGGCGTATAAGTTTTGTTCTTGAGCCAACATGCTTACGGAAAGCACTTACCTGTTGAAGATATCCCTTTTCCTGCTTCTCGTCCTCGTCCTTCTTATCCTCCTTGCTGCTGCTGCGGTTCCACCTCCTCCTCATCTACTGTGCACCTCCTCCAGCCTGCTCCGGGGGGGGAACCAGGAGGATACGAGAGAATGGAAAAGGGTGAAGTAGGAAAACTATGTTTCAAAAAGTTTTGAACCACTGCTTTCAACACTGCTTTCAACACTTGATGCCCAGCATTCTTCACACAGGCGCTTGACGACCTGCTTGGGGAAGACATCTCTGTTTGAAGATCGAAGATGGAAGATCTCAGCCGAACTATGAAATAGATTACTCAACCAGGCCCTCTTCGGTATGCTTCTCCTTATTATCGTCCCTGCTGCTGCTGTTGTTTCGCCTTATTCTCCTCATCCGCCTTGCACCTCCTCCTCCTCCTCCTCGTGATCTGTCTGCTCCTTCTCCTCATCCTCCTCCAGCAGGGACGGCAGTCGGGAGAATGAGAGGGGATGGAGCCGAGAAGGGAAGGAGGAGGAGGAGGAGTGTTTCAAAACACTCTACAACTACACACTGACAGCATCCTTGGGTAATACATCTGCTTTTGAAGATTGAATATTGAAGATTGCAAGGAATGTATGGCGACTATTGTCAAACATATTGACAACCACCTGTTTAAATCATGCTCGGCAGAAACCCGCTGGGATCTTCAATAACCGATCTTCGAAAAAAGGTTGCTGTCAACCACCAGATTGAAAAAATGCTGGGCATAAGTCCGCTGATACCTTCCATCTTCAATCTTCAAACATACGGAACAGATGCACTGGAACGTGTTTAAGCACCGTTTCAAAACGTTTTAGAACGGCCCTCGGAGGGGACGTAAGGAGAAAAAGGGGAAGGGAGAAAGAGAGAGAGGGAGACAAAGACAGAGAAAGAATAGTAGAGAAGAGACGAGAAGAGAAGAGACGAGACGGGAAGAGAATACAGTGTAAGGAATGGCATGTTGGCCGCAGGATAACGATAGGGTTTGTGGGTAATTCCAGCGGCAGCGGGATGCCTGCAGGCTTGCAGGCCTTACCAGGACTAATAGCCCGAGCACAGCCGAGGAAGCAAAATGCAGGGCAAGAAGAACGAAGCGCCTGAGCACAGAGAGGCAAGGACTCGGTCGGGCATGTCCTCCAACAGAGAACAATTCCGACGGAAAATGAAAAATAGTCAAAAAAGTCAGAATGATTCAAGAATGCTCCAAAATCGTCCCCAGTCTATTTTTAGACTATGTCTGAATATTCCTCCTGTTGGGGAACGTGCCCGACTTCAAGGCAAGGACCTTATGGCTCGGGTACTCTTCGATCAAGCTTCAAGCGACCAGAGCACGCACTGCCAGGAGAGTTTTCGCTCTCAGCAGCAGCCGAACCCTTCGGTCCAGCCTCGCAAAAACGATGAGGGCGAAAATGAGCTTTGGCTTCTTGGGGCGGGCGGAAGAGCACGCTCAGTGCCTCGGACTTCGCGGCGGGGCCACTCGAGAAAGGTGGCAGCTCGGCAGCTCCCAGCCCAAGCACATGCAGACCGCCGGTCGCCATATTCTGGGCGATCTCGCCTCATCCCGTTGGGTCAACAGTGTGATGCCTAGATGTGGCACTCTGCACAGGAACCCCCAAGCCTGCGAGACCCTCCTCCTGGTCTCGTTCCGAATTCGGCTGGGTCGAGGTGGGCACTCGCTTTCTTGCGCGAGCCAAGGTGTTGCCAGACGACGCGGCGCGCACGAAGGAACCCAACCTGAAGGCTGGCCCTTGCGAGACGCCCAGCGATGCGCGAGGTGCTACCCCTCCGCGCCCTCTCGCCCTCGCGCCCTTGGGGAAAGGCAGCCGCTCGGGCCCCGGCCGCGACGCGAGAAGCACGACGATCTTCGCGCCCCCGCGGGTGCCCCCGGCCCCTGCGAGAACGCCGCCTGCTGCCCTGCCTTCTCCATGCCGGGCGTGGGGGGCGCGTGCCCGCTCGGCACCGAGGGCCGACCGCCCTGGGCCTCCGAGCTTCCGCTGCCGCCACCTCGAGGAGGAGGAGGAGGAGGAGGAGGAGGAGGAGGAGGAGGAGGAGGAGGAGGAGGAGCGGGGGGGAGGACGTCGTTGTCTGGGGAATCGAAAGAAAACGGGCCCTGCGGAGAGAGAGAGAGAGACGGTGCGCATGCTCGCTGCCAAGCTCCTGCCTCTGTGGCCGGCCTGCAGCCCTCCACGGGCCACCCGCACCCGAAGGGAGGAGCCTCCTGCAGCTCCCAGACCTCGGCGCGCTTGGCATGGACTATAGAGAATCACTGGCAGCGCAAGCAGTGAAATGCGCGTGCGACGCGTGACGTCGGGCAGTCAAACGGTGGTTGCCAGAGGACTCAAAGGTGTATGAAGCCAAGCTGGCAGAGCTTGGTCATGAATGACTTGTGTTGCTGTGCCGACAGCTTTGTTTGCACATCATAACGGTTTGTAAAGTTACAGACATACATACAGACCTACATACATACATGTGTACATACATGCATGCATGCATACATACATACAAGCACGCCTGCAAGCATACACACCTACATACATACATACATACATACATACATACATACATACATACATACATACATACATGTATACATACATACATACATACGTACGTACGTACGTAAATACGTACGTACGTGCGTGCGTACGTACGTCCGTCCATCCGTCCGCCGTACATACATACATACATGCATACATGCAGACATACATACATACATACATGCATGCATACATTCATACATGCATACAAACATACATAC